CACAGGTGAGTGTACACGTGACGTCACAGTTACACGTGGGGAGGTCACGGTGTGAGTGTACACGTGACGTCACATTTACACGTGGGGATGTCACGAGGTGAGTGTACACGTGACGTCACACTTACACGTGGGAAGGTCACAGGTGAGTGTACACGTGACGTCACAGTTACACGTGGGGAGGTCACGGTGTGAGTGTACACGTGACGTCACATTTACACGTGGGGAGGTCACGGGGTGAGTGTACACGTGACGTCACACTTACTCGTGGGGAGGTCACTGGGTGAGTGTATACGTGACGTCACACTTACACGCGGGGAGGTCACGGGACGAGGTCACCTTTAACGTCACGCTTACGCGTTGAAGGGGTCACGGGCTAAGTTAACGCGAGCGTGTTCTATATACTGTTTATTCCAATTCGAGCTATGCATGAGCTCTTGGTGTTTCGATTTTGTATAATATTATTATATAATTATATTAATTATATAATAATATATTATATCTCATGCAATGAATTTGATTGGTGCGTGAAAATAACGTGAAACTACGCGAACAAAATTTCGGATCCATCCATTGCAATAATTATTACTTTTGTGTTCATCGCAGGTCGATTTATCCTCGATTTACGGTGAAACAGCAGAGAAGAGGAAACAGCTGAGAAGTTTGACAGGAGGAAAATTTAAAATGCAGGTATACGAATGCAGTTACGTTTTGTTATTTAAATGAATTATATACGCGAATAAACTATGACAAAAAGAAAATCCTACAAGTATTCTCCGTATCTGCAAAGATTAACGTAAATACGTAAAGCTAATAAATGTACGAAATTTACGAAATTGAACGCGACAACTGAAAAGCTGCTATTAATACCACCACCTATCGCAATATAAAGTAAGTGATTACGTCATGACCACCTACTGCATGACGTAATATCTATTACAGGTCATTAACGGGGAGGAATGGCCCGTATTGATAAAGGATGCTCTTATCGAAACCGAATATCCTCCCGGATATCCGGAAGAACGTAAATTCGCTCTGGGTCATCCCTTTTACGCGCTTCTTCCGGGTCTGTTCGTATGGTCTACGATATGGATGCGGGAACATAACAGGGTGTGCGATATCCTAAAGGAGGAACATACAGACTGGGACGATGAAAGGTTATACCAAACCGCCCGACTCATCCTTGTTGGTACTACATGTTTCTCACGAGCTATTCGAAGCTGTGCTTATTTCTTTGCTTATTACTTACTGTCTGCTGCTTGCTCTTTGCTTATTTCAAAGAGCATATGAGATAGTTAGTTGTATGTAATTTACGCAGCTATCTATACGCATAGTCGACACAATTTTATACACGCAGCAAGTTACATATGTCGTTTATTTACTCTTGATTTTATAAATCAAGAGGTATAGCCATATTATTGAATTATGATAATCTATTATTATTCTAATATTATGATGTTTTGTTTGATTTTGTGTGTGTTTGATGTTATTATTATGTTTTATATTATGTTATTATGATTTATATTGTTATGTTATTGTCATATTAAATTTTGTTGGTGATTCGGACCAGCCGCAGGGTACCATGAATGCTGAATTTGCAAGCATTCTGCAGGAAATTAAATATTCCACGATAAATCGAAAAGATTGCGCGCCCTGATATTAAATTCTTTAAACGACATTTCTATTCATTTTTGTAACATTTTTTGTAATTTTATTTAACATTTGAAATGCAGGTGAGACGATAAAGATCGTTATCGAAGATTACGTTCAGCATCTTAGCCAGTATAAATTCAAGCTCAAGTTCAACCCGGAACTACTTTTCGACGTGCCATACCAGTACCAGAACCGCATTGCCGTGGAATTTAACCACCTCTACCACTGGCACCCTCTACTACCGGAATCATTCAACATCAGCGGACAGACGTATCCGATGAAAAGCTACATGTTTAACAGTCAACTGGCCGTCGATCATGGCATGTATGCGGTCATAGATTCCATGTCACGTCAACCGGCTGGAAGAGTAAGCGTTATATTCATAGTTACCTAGTTATATAACTACCATTGCAGCACGAGTTTTCATATAGTCGTGGTTCAGCTAGTATATATATATATATATATACCAAACATATACGCGCACACACACGCGCATACAGCACACGTACACGCACACCCTCGCACATGCGCGCACACACACACGCGCGCGCACGCACACACGCACGGAACGCACGCACGCACCGCGCACGCACGCACGCACGCCACAGAGTGTGTGCTGTGGGTCGTGTGTGTGTGTGTCGTGTGTGAGTGAGAGAGACGAGAGAGATAGTGTGTTGTGCCGGTGTGAGAGAGAGAGTAGAGATGAGGGAGAGAGAAATGAGTGGTGTGTGTTGTGTGTGTGTGTGTATGTGTGTGTGTGTGGTTGTGTGATGTCGTGTCGTGTGTGCGTGCGTGTGTGTGTGTAGGATGTGCTGTGTGTGCGTGCGTGCGTGCGTGCTTTCGTGCGTGCGTCCGCTGCGCGCGCGTGCTGTGTGTGTTGTGTGTGTGGGATGTGTGTGTGTGTATCGTGGGTGTGGTGCGTGCGTGCGCTGCGTGGTGTGCGGGCGTGCGCGCGCGTGTGTGTGTGCGCGCAGCCGTGTGTTTGTGTGTGTGAGAGAGAGAGAGTAATTGGAGATTTCGCATCAAAAACTAAAGCGACGCGCGATATACTATATAATACTACTATTATAAATTGAATATACCATTATACACAATATATAGACAATCAAATTTTTGTAAAAGTATCAAAGTATCAAAAATCAAAGTATACAACCGCTTGCTGCATTTATTGTTCCGAGAACAATGTCAGCGTATATTGGTTGTATTCTGTAAATGTATGCATCTGCATGTCGTAATATCTTGATGGGATCAACTTTCTGCTGACGAGCGGGATTGGCTCAATGTTGTCGTAAATTCTACATTTACTAGTACAAGCCAATTATACCGTCTATCATTTGCGTTGCGAATAATATATGCGATTGATCCCTGCCCCGCAAATAAGTGGATAAGTAGATAAGCGAAACGGTGTTAATGGTTAATGCGACATTTACTCTCACGATTATTCGATTTCGCTCGCCAGATGTCGCACCACAACCACGGGCCCTCGACGTTACACATCGCCGTGGCAACGCTAAAGCACGGACGATTGCTGCGGTTGCAACCCTTTAACGAGTACCGGAAAAGATTTGGACTTCGACCCTATGGCTCCTTTGAGGAGCTCACAGGTAAATATTCCTGATTAAAAACTCACTGTACGATAGGCTGGTTCTTGTGATCGCTGATGGTAAGCCGTAGAAATAGCTGCCACTCGCACTTAGAGATTGGAAGCCAAGAAAGACACACATTGACAAATATCGCTATGCATGTCGAAATTCTATATTCTATTTTATACGATGGCACACATTGCTCAACACTGATGCGTATTACTAAGTATTATTACACTTTGATATACATTACTAAATATTGTTACACTTTGATACGCATTATTAAGCATTGTTACACTTTGATACACATTACTAAGCATTGTTACACTTTGATACGCATTATTAAGCATTGTTACACTTTGATACACATTACTACGCATTGATACGCGTTGGTACAGTTTGCTGCGATTCGATTCTAGATGTGTGCTATCTTATTTCCATGCTACGCGTGGCTGTTGTTTCTGCATGCATTTGAAGTATATATATAGTATAATATACATATAAATATATATAATATAATATGTATATATATTCCTATTCCATAATATAATATATCTTGTATTCCAAATGATTTGAAAGACCAATGACCTATTGACCATCTGACATCGTTCAGAAATAGCAAAGGCTCATCGGAACAATCTCTTTCTTGTAATGCAATCAGGAGCTTTTTATGCCAAAATGCCACACCAACCTTAAATAACCAAAATTAAAAGACTAATTAAGCATGCGATCTTCGCTATCAGATTAATCACTAAGCCTATAATTAACAACGGACGTGATTTTAATTAAGCTAGATCGAAAATGGCACACATTAGCGGCTCCTGATCTCACGGCCTGAGTCGTAAAAATGCTGCTCCTCTGTCCCGCGGCCGGGAAAGGTCAATGACCCAAGTACGCTGTATGAAGCAGCGTGCTTCGGAATTGCCTCCTCGCCTGCCCTCGCGTTACACTTGTGACATCTATAGAAACGACACGCATCACCCGATACGGCCCGACACTACCTAGTCGCACGAGATGTGTTCAAGCGAACAGAATATTACACGAACGGGGTAAACTGGAATGATATGAAAGCTGGCTCGTTTCTTAGTTAAAAGTGCGGAGATAAGAGATATGGGGAGCAACGTAGCGAGAGAGGCAAGAGAGAGGGAAAGATAGAGAGAGGGGGAAGATAGCGAGAAGAGGGGGAGCAACGTGCGAGAGAAGAAAGAGAGATATATATAGCAAGAGCAGAGAGAGAGAGATAGTGAGAGAGCAAGAAAGAGCGAAAGAGAAAGAAGAGTGAGAATATACGAGAGAGAAAGAAGAATGGAGTGAGTGAGAGTGAGACGCGAAGAGAGAAGAGAGAGAGAGAGAGAGAGAGAAGAAAGAGAAAAGAGAAAAGAGAAAGAGAGAGAGAGAGAAGAGAAAGAGAGAAGAGATAGAAAGGATAAGAGATCAGAAAGAGAGCAGAGAGAAGAGAAGAGAGAGAGAAGAGAGAGAACAAGAGAGAGCGCGAGAGGAGAGAGAAGCGAGAGAGAGAGAGAGAGAGGAGAGAGAAAGAGCGCGCGGAAGAGAGTAGAGAGCGAGAGATGAGAGAGAAGATAAGAGAGAGCGCGCGCGAAGAAGAACGAGAGAGTTTGAGAGAAGAGAGAAGAGAGAGAGAGAAGCAGAAGAGAGAGAGAGAAAGAGAGAGAGAAGAGCTAGATATCGAGAAGGAGAGAGAAGAAGAAGACGAGAGAGAGAAGAGAGGAGAGCGAGGTGGCTATCATCTATTACAGTCAGCTCTGACATTAGTAACATATTAGCTACAGACCGTTACTTACCATGCCATACGTCTCTCAGAGCACAGGTTATCAACGTAAACCAAACCTGCAGCAACCGCGTACTAATATATATACCATAAACAATGGCCGTCACCGGGGACCAGGTAAATATCTCACGAGCACTGCTAATAACATTTCCCAGCCGGGAGCAGGAAAAATGGGGCTGAGCGCTCCATTACCTGTACTGTTGTAGATTCGGCATGCTGGTCCATCGCAAGCTGTAGAGAGAGGTCGAAAATGTCAGCTGCGTCAATCATGGCGCAGTTGCTAGAAGACTGCGAATATAGGTATTCTTCTCTTCTTCTTCTTTCTTCTCTCGACCGTCTTCTTCTCTTCTCCTTCTGTCTTCCTCTTCAAAAAAAAATAAAAAAAAAAAAAAAAAAAAAAAAAAAATAAAAAAAAAAAAATATTTCATTCTTCTTCTCTTCTTCTGCTTTCTCCCCTTCTTCCTTCTCTCTTTCATTCTATCTCTCCCTATATTCTTCTCTATCTTCTCTTTTTCTTCTATCTCTTTCCTTCTAGTTCTCTCTTATCCTTATTCTATCTTCTTGCTCTTTTTCGGCTTTATACTTCTCTTTCTCCTCTTTTCCGCCTCTCTGCTCATATCTCTTGATCTCTTCTTCGTTTCATTCTTTTTACTTCTGACTTCTCTATTTTTGCTCACTGGTCTTATTCTTTATGATTCTTTACTCTTGACTTCTTCTCTTGATCTATCCTTTCAAGAGCTCTTCCTTCACATTTCTATTTCTCTTCTCTTCTTTTTTACTTTCTCTCTTTTATCTTTACTCTTCTTACTCTTTCTTTTTCTGCCTCTCTCCTCTCTACTTCTTCTCTCTATTACTCTCTCTTCTAGTTTCTTTTTTCTATCTTTCTTGACTTGCTTTATATGGGCGTGTCTCTCGCTCCTTTACTCTCTCTCTCATTATCTGTGTTTTCTCTAACTATCTTCTGCTTCTTCTTCTCTTTCTTCTTCTTCTATTCATCTTCTTCTCTTCTCTTCTTCTTCTTCTTCCTCAGTACGTGGAGCCTTTCCCAGCTGCTGCCGTATGCTCCGGTCCTGTGCTCCTTCTCCAGCCATCATTGGTTCAAAATATGCAGCAACATAAGAGCACAACTTGTGTATAGGATCTACTATTCCCAGCATCAATAACCTACGCTTATATATATAATATCAATCAGTGAATGATAAGAATGACCCCAGTAGGGCCTGAATATTATTTACCTATACCACTGTAGGCAGTTTCCCTTCTCCTCACTTACATTTCGGTTTAAACAACCCAATAACGTCACCGTGATCCGCCAACAACAACAAGCAGCACCAAGACGAGTAACGGACGAACAACAACAACGACGAACGAATCGGACGATACAGCGAAATGACAAAAATACAATAAACTAGCAAATCAAAGAATAACAACAAAACAAACAACATAAATTAAAATAATAAAAAGAAGAAGAAAGAAGGAAAATAGAATAATTGTAAGAATAGTGATTTGGCGTCTAATAACAGCGTCAAACCTATATCTTTGCACTTGAAAATAGCGGATAATTAGCTAGAATCCAGGTTTAATACGCCTAATCCGTGAGCGGCGTAATTTACCCCAACACTGTTATAAAACGGCAACACCCGACGACGTATGTGGAATAAGCTTCTTACGTGGTAACCAGACACGTATTTAATTCGAAGAAACGTCATTACCCCGCATTTAGCCGTTTATGTTATCAAGTTGATCTGTACCATAACCGGGTGCGCGAACACCGTGCACGGTACATGCTGCAACCTACAAATCTAAGGCGAGGAAGTAGTGCTTTGGACCGAATCTCCATTTTGCAATGTGCATATGAATATATATAATGTAATATATATCCATATTAATATTAATATACTAATTTACACAACACATCATATATGCATATACATATGTATGTAATGTGTGGTGTATGTGTGTGTGTGTGTGTGTGTGTGTGTGTGTGTGTGTGTGTGTGTGTGTGTGTGTGTATGTGTGTATGTGTGTGTGTGTGTGCGTGCGTGTATATACGCAATGCTAATTTTTCAAGTTAATTTCTCCACTGTCTACTGTAGTAAATCGGAAACTAGTACGTACGGTAGTAAGAGATGTAGACAAGAAGAAAGAGAGCGGAAGAGAGAGAGAGAGGGGAGAACTCTTCTCCATTTCATCGCAGTAATGGAAATTAACGTTGTAATATTGGTTTTCAAGTAACGGCGCGCACGCGGAGCTCTAGTAAGATCGCAATGCTCGCTTCTCATGGCGCGCCGCAAAGTATAATCACTCTAATGCAAACGGTATATTATATTCATGAAAAACCAGCTCGGTTTTTATTGAATCAACGCGGTTTTTAATGTCGGCGAAGGTGTATATAACTTTCACCAAAGATGGAACAGGCATGTACAGCTAGCAGCACACTTCACCATTTTCGTTGCTCGTACAGGCAATTTTCGTGGTCGGCAATTTTTGTGGCCGTTGCCGCGTCACAGCACACTTCACCACAAGTTGCCACCACGAGCAATTTTCGTGGTGAGAAATCAAACCGGTTTGATTCTCGCCAACTCGTGGTCACCACTAAATTTCCGTGGTGAGTGGTCGTTACCGGCCCCCGCAGACTTGGCCATTTTTGTGGCGACCACAAAAATTGCCTGTACGAGCAACGAAAATGGTGAAGTGTGCTGCCCGCTTACGTTAAGAAACGCTTTAACGTTGTTAAGGACGCGTACGTACGGTGTAAGAGAAGACTAACGTACGCTCGCGCTATTTGCTGCTGACTCTAACGCTTTGATCCTTTCTCACTGTCATCACTATAGTACCAATTAAACATGGTGATACAAATAATGACATAATGACGCATGCTATATGTTGTTTAGATGTGAATAATACGAACAACAACACAAACGAAAGTAATATCAATAATAAGATTCATATTCATTCAATTCAATTCAACAATTCAATTCAATTCATTCATATTCAAATTCAAATTCATATTCATATTTATATTCATATTTAACATAGGGTTGTTCAATCGACCGATTATTAACGAGTGGACGAATATTTCACCTACACATTGCAGGAGAACAAGAAATGGCCGCCGAGCTACGAGAACTATACGGAGAGGTCGACGCGCTAGAGTTCTCTCTAGGTCTCATGCTGGAGAAAGCACGAGCAGCAGCCATGTTCGGCAGCACTATCATTGAGATGGGCGGCCCGTTCTCCGTGAAGGGCCTCATGTCAAGCCCCGTATGCAGCCCCGGCTATTGGAAGCCGTCTACATTCGGAGGTGACCGCGCATTTGACGTCATCAAGATGGCGTCGCTGCGAAGGCTCGTGTGTTCAAACATTCGCGGTCCGTGTCCTTTTGTGTCCTTCAGGGTTCCAGATGACGTGGCGAATGCAGTAACGAGGCAGGAAAAATCTACTAGAGACGGCTGCCGTGAAGAATTGTAGTGAATATGTATGAACGTAAACCTCCTCAGCAACCGCGTACTATATATATATACATGGCCGTCACCGGGGACAGGTAATACTCACGCTGCTATACATTTCCCGCCGGGAGCAGGAAATGGGGCGAGCGCTCCTCCTGTAGCTGTTTGTAGATTCGTTATTGCTGGCATCGCAGCTGTATGAGAGAGGTGCGATGTCAGCTCGTCTATCATTGTGCGCTCGCTAGAAGACGCGAATGGGCTCTTCTTCTTCTTCTTCTTCTTCTTCTTCTTCTTCTTTTTCTTCTTTTTCTTCTTCTTCTCCTCCTCCTTCTTCTTTTTATCCTTCTTCTTCTCTTTCTTCTTCTTCTTCTTCTTCTTCTTCTTCTTCTTCTTCTTCTTCTTCTTCTTCTTCTTCTTTTTCTTCCTCAGCCTTGGATCGAATCATCGTCACTTGTTCTTCGTTGGACGTAAGCCTTTTCCAGCTGCTGCCGAATGCTCCGGTCCTGTGCTCTTCTCCGCCATCTTGGTTCAAATTTGTCAAGGTCGTCTCGCCATCGGGTCTTTTGACGGCCACCAAATCAAATAGCGGCGCTCTTCTATTGTAACCTAAAGTAACCAGCTAGGTTGATAGGCTGGGTTGCTTATACCCGCTATATGGGCGTAGCAAGAATGGTTGAGGTTAGAGGAAAAGTTATTTAACCGTGACGTTTAACCGATATGTGACATTTAACCTAACCCAACCTTAGCCATCACTCTAACCATGCCCATCCTAAAGCGAATCGTAACTCCTCTATTGAACCTGACTTTAACTATTTTAACATTATTGATAGATATATTCTTAATCCTAATCTAAACCCTACGGCACGAGCTCAATAGTGAATAATACCATGGCCTGACTCAGCCACCGTACCTGGAGCGTACCGTACCGTACCGTACCGTACCGTACCGTACCGTACCGTACCGTACCGTACCGTACCGTACCGCCAGCGTCTGTTACCTGGAGCTCAAACAAAGAGCACAACTTGTGGTGTGATGATCACTATTCTATGCATAACCTACGCTTATATATATAGATCAATCTTGATGATAATAATGACCCAGTAGGGTCCTGATATTATTTACCTATCGCTGTAGCAGTTTCTCCTTCTTCCTCTTTTACTTTCGGTTTAACAGCCAATAACGTCACCCAACAACAACAGCAGTAGCAACGACAACGCCAACAACAACAACGACGACGACGACGACAACAACAAAAACAATAACAGCATCAAGAATAACAACAACAACAACAAAAGTAATAAAAATAATAAAAAGAAGAAGAAGAAGAGGAAATAGAATAATTGTAATAATAGTGATTTGCTGTCTAATAACAGCGTCAAACCTATATCTTTGCACGTGAAAATAGCGGTAATTAGCTATGAATCAGATTAATACCCGTTACGGCGGTATTACCCAACACTGTTATAAACGCAACAACGACGTATGTGGATAAGCTGCTTACGTGGGTACAACACGTATTTAATTCGAAGAACGTCATTACACCCCCGCATTTAGCGTTTATTTGATCAGTTGATCTGTACCACCGGTGCGCGTACACCGTGCAGGTACATGCTGCAAACCCACAAATCTAAGGCGAAGTAGTGGCTTTGGCCGAATACCCCTCCAGTTTCGCGATGTGCATATGTAATATATATATAATATATACATATTTAATATAATATATAATTACACACACCTATATATGCATATACATGTATGTATTGTGTGTGTGTGTGTGTGTGTCGTGCTGTGTGTGGGTGGTTGCAGGGGGGGGGCGGGCGGGGCGGGGGGGGGGGCGGGGGGGCGGGCCGCGGGGGCGGCGGGGGGGGGTGCCGGGGCAGGGGGGGGGGCGGGCGGGGAGGGGGGGGGCGGCGCGGGGGGCGCGGGGGCGGGGGGGGGGGGGGGGGCGGGGGGGGGCAGGCGGGGGGCGGGGGGAGCGGGCCTGGGGGGCTGGGGGGTGGGCGGGGCGCGGGGGGCGGGCGGGGCGCCGGGGCGGTTGGTGTGTGTGATGTGTGGTGTGTGTGGGTGTATGTGTGTGTGTGTGTGGTTGTGGCGCTGCGTTGTATAAACGCAATGCTACATTTTTCAAGTTAATTTAACGCCACGGTCATACTGTAGTAAATCGGAAACAGTTCACGTACGGTAGTAAGAGATGTAGACAAGAAGAAAGCAGAGCGGGAAGAGCAGAGAGAGGGGGGAGAACTCTTCTCATTTCATCGCGGGGGGGAGTTGGGATATGGAAATTAACGGTTTGTAATATTGGTTTTTCAGTAACGGCGCGGGTTCTGGTGGCGGTCTCAGAGCCTCTATAGTAAGATCACAATGCTCGCTTCTCATGAGCGCGCCTGCCGAAGTTATAATCACTCTTAATGCAAACGCGTTGAATATCATTCATGAAAAACCAGTGCTCGTTTTTATTGAATCAACGCGTTTTTTAATTCTGGCGAATGGTGTTATAGTATACGTGCATTTGTCCAAATTATGATTTGGCAAACAGGCATGTCAGCTAGCAAGCACACTTCACCATTTCCGTGCTCGTAACAGCAATTTTCTCGTGGTGTTTGTGGTCGGCCAATTTTGTGTGGCCGCGTTTGCGCGTCACAGGCGACACATTCACCACAAGTTGCCACCACGAGCAGATTTGTTTTAACCCCCTACCATATCGCCATTACGCCCATGCCTACGACAAGTTTAGTACCTCGAGATTAATCAAGAAAGGGGCTGACTTCAAACCTGCAGTTTAGTCCTCCAAGTATACGATTACCCTACCTACAGCCAATCGGTGAGTTTACGCCCTGGCTGCAGCCAATTACACAAGTATACACCCTGTTACCCCCTACATATCCGGACCATACGCCATGTAGCACCAAGTTATACCCCAATGTATCAACGGTCACCTCACTAAATCGGGTGAATATCGTCAGTTAGACACCAAGTATTACACCAAGTATACGCCCTGGTGCACCATTACAACAAGTATACCACCCGTATACCCCCTAATCGGGACCCATACGCCATGTAACACCCAGTATTTACCCAAAGGTATCACGGTGAAATATCGTCAGATTTAGACACCAAGTATCGATACACCAAGTACTACGACTGCTCTCACCAACTTACAACAAGTATACACCCTGATATACCCCCGCCTATCATATCGGACCATACCGCATGTAACCAAGTATACCAATGTATCACGGTGAATATCGTCAGGATATTTAGTACATACAAACGTATTCGCCATACACCAAGTATACCGCCCTCGTGCACCAATTACAACACACAGGTATACACCCTGTATACCCCCGTATTTATTATCAAAAGCTTGACATACGCCGAATGTACAGCCAAGTATACCCAATGTATCATCACGCGTGAAATATACCGTCAGTATTTAGACACCAATATGCGTATCCAGCCAAAGTAGTATCGCCGCTGCCTGCACCCAATTACAACGTACTGACACCGCTGATAC